TCATGAAAGATAAAGAGGAATTTTTATCTCTCATAAGGAATAAGCCAACAATGTCAATTTGAATACCTGGGTTTTTTTCACCTATAGAACGGCAAAATATTCTCATTGAAATTGGTAAACTCAAACTAGGATGAATGGCTGTGGTGTAGATGGGTAATGAAACCTACACCCACACCTACAAATCCTTCTCAATTCTTTAGAAGAAAGGATTGATGACAGATTTGATTACGCTCATAATCTGTTATATAGTCATAAGCGAATATTGAAAGTTTATTACTCGCCAGTTTTGTTTTTACAGTGCAGATAAGATGATAAAAACTCCACTTTTACGTTCTTTTTCTTCGTTTCTTATATAATTTACAGTACTTTATAGCTATACAGCACTCTCACTATTCCTTACGTAAAGAGAAGAAGCAATGTCAAACAGACGAAACCAATCTCCTGCCGGTGGTCATGGTCACAACTCAAGATCCAAGAGCAATGAAAGACTGTCTCCATCGGGCAGACCCAAGCCCTTGGATACCTACAGCGAAACGCGTACGGCCGCCTTTCACAAGGCTAAAGACATGAACGACATTCCTCGCTGCCAGAAGCCAGACCGCCAGGACCGGACGATCGAAGACACAAGCAACGAAGGTATGACGTGCGACGAGTACACTTTTACTAAGCCCAACGGAGATATTATTATCATCCGACATGACAATCCTACGAGGTACAAGGAGGTGGTGGGAAATCAACCGGCGCACTTTAATGTGACTGTGAACGGCATATATACGAAGCAGCATCACTACTACGGACCAGCACCAACGTAGAAACAGTCGAAGAAGTGACAACATGTTCTTGTCACGTATCTCTACTATGCAGAAGTTTCATTTTTTTCAGTTTTTGTGTGCTCAAAAAGTAAAAATAAAAATCATTTGATAAATAAAACTATAGTTATTTAATTTTTAAGGCTTAGCAATGGATCAAAGTTCTTTTCGTAGTTCGTTGTATTTGAAACGTAATTCAACATTTGAAAATAATACGCGATAGCAATTTCTTGAGGGTGTGTGTGAGAGTTATCAGATGATAGATACCCACACCCACATCCATTCTAAATGCTTCGCTTTGCATCGCATTAATTATTCAATCATACCGGCAATCGTACTACATGTACTATCCACACACATCATTATACGTTTAAAACTTTCAGATAGGGTGTCAATTTTTTATTCAATTATAGTCATTCCAAGCCTTCAAAAAAACTCGGATTTACATATGCTGAGCATAAATGTCAAGTAATTATTGTCATTAGTTCGTTTTATGGTTCTTTCTCACAGAGGAACATAATTGCTACGATTGTTTGCGAATCATCGAAGAAAAAGACGATTCAATTCAACGCCTGGCTGAGCAGTTGTGTTCTTTTGAGCGGCCTCCAAATTCTGCCCTGCATCTATCGGAGCATCATTGTTATCTTCCACAACACCAACCCGATTTGACATTTTTTTTTGTATTTTTGCTACAATGAACCAAAATACAGGAGCCATTGTGAGTTTGACAATGAGGAAAACGAGTCCAAATATTTCCAATGCCACAATAGTAAAGAGAACGTTGTGAAATATAATTTCTCCTTGACGAGCGATCTATTACAGAACATAAAAAAAGAAATCAGACAATATTCTATATTATTATTGTTTCTTACCGGATCTTGAGTGTTCTTGATGAAGAACGGTGTTTCAACGAATGTCACTTGAAATGTTGTCATATTTGTTAGATAACGTAGGTATGAACCTTGTTGAAAATAAACAAGTTCATCGTTTATTGCTTCGATAGTAAACGTGGGAATCCAAATACCAGTATACTTTGTGGCATCACTCGGCGAAAGGCCAGTCGTTCGATTAATTACTTTGGTTAGTTGAATGTTGATTTGTGTTGCTTGTGCAAGTGTTTGATTATCTGTATAGAACATTTGACAGAAGCTGAGTACTTGCCTAAAGTGAATGCTCCCTTCGCTTGCGGCAGAAGATCCTCTCAAACACACATAAGCTCCACCGATATAGTAGGGTCCGCCTAAAATAAAGTTGAGAGTCATCTGATGAGCAGGAAGAGTGAGCGAAACAGTTTGAGTGGCTGGAATTTGATCACCATACGAACAGTTTAACCAGGGAAGTTGAATTAGGTTAACACCAATAATTTGTTGAATTGTCAGACTACTACAATTAAAAAGTGTCTGCACGAAATTGACTTCAAGAGTGAATTGTTGCGAATCGAGCAAGCTGAAAATCGGTGCTTCTTCCTGGTTGCGAGGTGTAGCAAGAAGTTGAAGACTCGTACTGAATTTTGCATTACGCATAGTTGTATCACAGGCGAATGGTACACTGTTCGTCTTCTCGATCGGATAGAGATATACAAACGAATTACTAAAAACATAGGCAAAACAAACCAAGACAATGATTCCAAAAGACATCAATCCACCCATCCATAGTGTGCCTTCGCCAATTAAATCAGTTTGTCGAAAGATACGCACAATAACCGCTCGATGTTTTCCACCCCAACGAACAAGTTGCAAGATTCCTACGATGCTTAATAAAAGTAACGCCATAGCAATGACAATGACCGTCCAGAAAAGAGGTGAAACAAGTATACATGAAGGGGTAGATCCGATACTAAACATGGCTTGAATTAGAATATCATCGAAAATGATTGAATCAGGAGATTCTGGATATGCTAACGCTTGACTGATATTATTGACAGTGTCTAAAGGAATGTCTGCAATAGATCCCAAAGGACAAAATGAACTAGAGTTACAAGCCGTGCATGATGAGATAGTTGAATAACCCGCGTTTCTTGTACCGATAGGACATAACTTGCAAGGTCCTACAGTGGTAATATCATTGTACGTGCCTGGTATGCAAGAAGTCGTTTGCATAAGTCCGATCGAGTTGGCATTAAATGATAAGTATTGAGAGCTCATAGAAGCAGATGCGAATGGAATAACAAGAACCACTTCACTATACCCGAATAATATAGCTAAATTTGCGTGTGTAACCACAACAAGGAGTATATTGGAAGTCGAAGTTGAGCTATCAGCTGGTTGTTGACTGTTTGGTAGAGTAAACAATGGTGCCGACATGTCATTGTTGGAATCAAATTCAACTATCTCTATTCGTGACACAGACCAAGGTGATATCGCTCTTGTAAGTGAGACAATGGCGCATGTATCATTCGATAACCAAACTAGAGATTGTCCATAGCCAACTCCAAGGACATCGGAAATGTAGGACTTGATTAGAATGATATCGGTCGGGATAAATTCGATCATCACTACCGTATCGTATTGTGATAACCCAATTAAAGCAACTGATCTACCATCTTGGATGGAAATGGCCATGTTCATTATGTTTGAAGATATGTAATAGGGATAATCTTGATAGACGAGTTCATTCGGAAGGAGAAGTAAGTATGGCATCGTGGATGGTTTTTGTACGTTGGCCTGCGTCATGTAATATGCACAAGGAGTACAAAAGAAATTCACCAAGTCACACTGATATCCAACCACTAAAACAGAATCGATTGATGTTGCCGCCATGGCGAACGGAATGAATCCAGGATACCAAGTCGGTTGAGAACCAAAATACCATGCTGTCATATTCCAAATCGAAGAGTAATTTGTCAGTTGAATATTATAGTTTAATAAATCATATACGAAGAAGACTCCCATCGATAAACCGAAAGCGACTTGACCGGAATCATCAACTGCAAGAACAACATGTTCAAGTCTAGCAGTGTCCGTAGGCAAAATCTGTTCGTCAAGAACAGCACATGAATCTATACCATTGATAATGCGAACGAATTGTGTATTGGTACTTATAATCAATCCAATAGCAACGAAAGTCAGTTGACTACTGTTCTGACTTTTGCCCATGCTGACACTGTAGATGTATTCGTCGGTAGTTCCAGAATATACGCAAGTATTCCACCATAGAGTATCCAAATTCATGACAGCGTAAGAAGACTGATCATTTGCAGCTCGGACAATAAGATGATCGCTCATTGTTAGAAGATGTCCATAGGCATCAGCGTTTGATGAAACGAACGAATCTGCACTGATAATAACACAAAAGCAGCTAAGAAATAGGACGAATACGCTTTGTTTCATACTTTGAATCTCTACGATAGAAGAAGAAAATATATATAATGTTGCCTTTACACTGAAAGAATATCATACTCGAAATGTAATTTCAAATGATATATCAAATGCTAATGTATATTTTAATATGTGCAGTTTTCAAAGTAACACCTCATCCTTTCCTACAGGTTCAAAATGTCACAACATATAGGGAAAGTCCAGTTGTTGATACTCGATATAAAAAACTAAAAAGATTTCTCGCGTGAATGTATCAGAAGAATCTTTCAGTGAACTGTTATTATAAAATGTTCTTGGGAATTAGTGAGTGCATGTTTATGAGAAAAAAAATTACAAGAATGAATATAAAATAGAGAAAAAGAAAAGATACATTATTTTGTTGTTTCATAATGCATCAATTAGACATAATGTGATAATTGCTATAGAGAAAAAATGAAGTAAAAGCGTTCGTGCAAAATAATAAAGATGAATATAGAAATTGTTTCTATAGAGATAATGTGTCTGAATTAGTCTCTTTTAAAATATATCAATTAGATGTTGTTGTTTTTTTCTTTGAATGCTTCTTTTCATAGAAAGAGAATGCTTTTAATAATCATGATCAAAACAGGAAGGGCGTGAAATGATGTAAATGACGTATGTCTATTTTGATCAACGCATATGATAGTAGAATAATGCTAATTATCGAGTTTTCTGCCATCGTCTTGAGAGTAGGTTTGAGTATGAAGAAGGAGAAAAAAGAGTCGAAAAAAAACATTGCCGTTTCATCATGGCATCTATTTATGATTATCAAAACAATAAATAACATGAGGGTGTAGGTATGGAGTTTTTTATTGATTCCATATCCGCATCCACTCCTACGATGAATTCCGATGTTTTTAAGTTTGTTTAGTAATATTCTTGGCTAAAATATATCATGAAAAGTTAATTTCACCACCAGACATATATTTTATTATCAACACATTCCACTATATAATCATCAAGTAATCTATCATTTTTAATCACCAATTTCATAGTTTCTTCCGTTTTATCAGTCTTCTTCGAAATACACAAAGAAGATAAATGACGATTATTGTTATTAGTTTTTGACAAAATTAATCTTATTAGACGTGCTAAAAAAGAAGTGAAATCATTATGTACTGCAAAATGTTGTAATCGTAGACATAAGGCAAATAATAATTCAACGTTTTTCAATGAACGTCCATATATCAAAATCAGATCTTTAACAACATTTTTCTTTGATACCGATTGAAAAACTACATTTTGTTGAATTGCTACAGGATTTATTCCATCAATTGATAGATGATCAAGTGATAGTCTATGAAGATTTACTGCAACACTTAATAATTTAACTAATTCCATAAAAGATATAGGTGCATATCGAACAACTATTTCAGTAAGTTTTTCTGGAAAAATAATACGTGGTAAACTATTATCCAACGAATTGCAAATTGAATCCCCATGACATTGGAAAGTTAATTTCGTAGTATTTGGAAAATAATTTCTACAATTCATTATTGCATTTACACTGTCTATCACAATATGATGAACCGAATCAAAGTTTGATTTTTCTTCAATTAACCCACCTAACGTAAATGTTGTTCTTCTAAAAATATCAAAGATAGATTATCATACATAAATAAATTTATCTTATACTTATATGGTTTTACTGAAAAGAACATAAGATCTTCTGCATATTCTTTACGAGGATATTGAGTAGAAAAAAACCATTGTCGTTGAATCCAAAATGAAGAAGTAAAGTTTTTTATTAGATTTTCATAATTAGACATCATATTTTTCTCCGGCGTTCCAAATCAAATACATTGAAAATCGAATATTGCTAAATTTGGTATATGAGACAATATTAAATTTTGCCATCGATATGCGTCTAAATATGTTATTCCAGCACTGACATAGAGGCGTAATACTTGAAGATTATGGAAGAGATCTTTGGCTAATAGTTCAAAGTCATGGAAATCTAATTGGTCTAATTTAAGACATATATATGATAAATTATTCAAGGTAATCGAAAACGTTATATTTTGTCTTTTTACAGAACTAAGTAAAAAAGGAATCGATAAATGACGAATTTGTGGAACATGTGATAATATAACGTAAAGTGTATCAAGTTCAATATAATTTTTAATAACGAGATGTTCAATTAAACTATATCTATTAGTAGCAACTGGCAGTGATGATACTATAACCGTACTAAATCTTCCAAATAATACATTAAAATATTTTAAAAATGGTAATTGAAATATTTGCTGATAAACTTCAGCTTGATCAGTATTAGAATAAGCATCACTAATGATGGTTAATGAAGATAATTTTGGTAGATTAATCAAATATTGAAGATTACGAAGATATGATGATGAAACATTAGTTAAAATAAGTGTTTCAAGTCGAGTTAATTTTGAAATATTATCTTGTGATGATAAAATAATATTAACAGCAAATATATTTGTTATACGAAGTGATTTTATTCGTTGCCGATAGGGTTTAAATATATCTTTATAATAACGTTCAAAATTTGGTTTTGATATAGATGAAATATTGATTTTAATCGGAAGATTTGAATTGATAATAAGATTTGCAAATCGCTGATTAAGATTTGAAAAAGTTTCATAGATATAATAAATATCAAAATATTCAAATATTTCATAAATAATTTCATTAGATAAATCTTCGAAATACCTGAGAGGTTTTGTAGATAAATTAACATCAGATTGACTTTCACTATGAAATTGTTTTCTTTTCATATCATCAGACTCTTTGATACTAATTTTTCGTTGTCGTTTTAATCGTTCCATATTAAATTATTTGATGGTGCGCTTTAGTTTTAATAAATCAAGTATAAACAAGAAAATGCGAATAAAAAATATAAAATGATAGAAAGCAATTGTTATGATGTAAATCCAGCGTGTCTATGATAGACCATACATACATACATATATACCTTTTTCTTTCTTTGTTCTCCTTCTTCGTTCTAGCCTTTATTATTTTTTTCTTTATTTTCTCCATGTGAGCGTTTTTCGAACATAAGAGAGCAAAACAATATTTGAAAAGGAAATGAAGTTACATATAACTATGTATTATAGAGAATGCGATTGATAGGAACACATTTTAGGGTGTGGGTGGGTGTGGATGATATTAACAGGATATGCACTCACACCCACCCACCCTTAAATATGTAAAAAAAAACATTGTCATTTGATCATGACATGTATTTTTGATTATCTAAACAATAAATAATCTATTTTGTACCAAATTTGATAAAAGAAATGCCAACAGCATTCCTGCAGAACGATAAAGTTTTTGTGCGCATGTTGGAAATTTCTTTTTTTTCTTCTTCCTGATGTTTTTTTTCAGACCATGTAGAACATAAACATTTTGCTGCCACGTCTTACATTATAGTGAAAGAAGAAAGTAAAAATATAAGTTTACACTAAAGATCACTGACGAAAATATGCTCTGTCGAACTTGGTCAAAAAATGTTTTCAATGATTATTCATCGTTCAATAGTCAATATGCTTTAGAAATTCTTCATTCACTTGGCGATGTGTTTGATAAGATGTATCTAACGAATGAAAATCTTCGCAAACGTATGATTGAATCAGCTAAACGAGATGATAAACGTTTCTATAAATTGGCAGCACAAGCTTATTATAATTTTAAAAAGAAGAAATCTTTTAATTTAGAAAAAATTTTCGAATCTAAAAACTATCATACCAAGACAGTTTATTCGCAAGTAATTAGTAGATATAGGATATTCATTATAATTTCTCTTCTTTTTTTTTAATTTAGAATAAACAAAATTCATATCATATAGGCGTCATTCATATCACTTCAAATTCTGTACAAATTATGCCAAGAATGTGGACAGATGGAAATCGTATCCTTCGTCATCCAATGTTCAATGATATTAATGATTTCTGTCTTGTAAATTTGGACTCAAATTTTGAAAAATGGTCTACGAAAAATTGTGATTATATTAAAAACGTTTTTTTATCCGGCATTGAAATTGGCAATCGTCGTTATTATTTTATCGGTTCATCAAATTCTCAATTAAAGAAAAATAGCTATTGGTTTGTCAAAGCTGATAGTTTAGATGATGTTCATCAAAAACGCAAACAATTAGTTGATTTTGATGAGGTTAATAATCTTGGTAAGTATATAGCTCGTGTTGGTTTATGGTTTAGCACCAGTATGTCAACTGGAGTAAGTATTTATGAAGAAAGTCTTATGTGAATATTCATTATTTTTCTCTATTTAAGATTACTCTGACCTATGTTGAAAATACATCAAAAGAATTTGATCGACGAATTCAAAAAGGAGAAAAATGTGTAACAGTAATCGATGATATCAAATATGATGAGTATTGTTTTACAGATGGTAATGGGCTTATTTCGAATGATTTAGCAAGACTTATTGCTAAAACCTTGAAATGTTTGGTTCAAACTTCAGAAGGCGTATGTTAAATCTTTATTTAATTGTATGATTGTTGTCGAAATCGGTGTATTATTTATATCTAGGAAATTTATCCATCGGCTTATCAAATCCGTATGGCTGGTTGTAAAGGTCTTGTAGTTGTTGATCCAGATTCAAAACCAAATGAATTTTATGTTAAAATTCGCCCATCTATGAAAAAATTTTCTTGTAATGAATGGGTTTTAGATATAAACAATTACAGTCGACCAAGTATGATTAATAGTGAATGTACTAACTAACAGTACCTAGCAATTGCTAATTTCTATGTTAAAAATATATCCAACGAGATATCTATCTTTTACTATCAAAAATAATCATAATAATATCGCCACTGTCTGTAAAATTCGTTTCGTCTAGTCTTTCTGATATAAATTCTAGTTCCAACCCGATTGAATAATCAGATCATATTACTTCTATCCGATCTCGGTGTACCCGATTCGACTTTCTTCGAACTTCAAACCCGTTGGTTTGCTCAAAAACAAAAATTCTTACCTAATAAGAAGTAATTAAATTTATTTCAATTAAGAAAAAACAGAAATCGTTTCTTCAGAGATCTTCTAAAAAATAAAATCCCTCTACCAGCTAATGAATGTCGACTTTTGTTTGGTTGTGCACTTGAATCTGAGCTCAAACCAAATCAATGTTTTATTCGATATCAACTTCTTGATAGTGATGAAAAACCATTAAAAGTTCCAAAACTTCAGACTGTTATCGGTCAAGTCATTGTCACTAAAAATCCATGGTGAGTTTTTAGGAAGATTTGACAATTGTATCGAAAACAGATCTTTAATATTTTAGTCCATATGCTGGCGATATGCTTGTATTAGAAGCTGTTGACCTACCAAAGCTTCATTGTCTTCGCGATGTCATTGTATTTTCAACGAAGGGCGACCGTAAATAATTATCTATCTATATTTTCTATCTGATAATCGTGATTATTATAGGGCCAGTTTGTAATCAAATCGGTGGTTCGGATCTTGATGGTGATCAGTATTTTGTAACTCATAGTCTTTGCTCTATTTTCTATAATGAAAAAAAATCGATAAATATATATTTCTAGGTCTATTGGGGTACAGAATTACAACTTTTAAGAAAAATTGAGCCGCTTGATTATAAATCTCCACCGGCAACGCATCTTTCAACGCCAAAATCAATATCTCCGTTAGATTTCATAAATCATTGTCTATCCATGTTAAGCAATTCAGTTCATGGTCAAGTATTCAACTTACATCAAATTGTTGTCGATAAAAATGAAGAAAAATGTGAACAACGTACATGTCAAAAATTAGCTAAAGAAATGGCAAATATGTTTTCTATTGCTAGTAAGAGATTTACTTTTTTTCTATATAAACTAGATATTTTTTCGATCTATTTATTTATTTATAGTTGATTCTGGTAAAACTGGATGCTCAATAGATCAAACACGTCTTAGAGAAATTCAACAAATTGTTGGTTCAACATATCCAGACTATTTAAGGGGAAAAAAATCCTACCAATCCCAATCAATCTTAGGTAAACTTTATCGAAATGCATTAGAGTTTACTAAAAAACGTTCAAGTGATTCGACTGTTAAAGTATTGCAAAATGGTGTAAATTGTAACGTATGTGGTCGAGTGTGTAAGAATGAGCGTGGTCTCAGTACTCATAAACGTAGCTGCGATAAAAAGAAAAAAGAAACAGAATCCAAAATACCAAGTACAATTATTCCTCAGGCAGAGCATATGAAGACTCTGGTGACACCCACACCCAAATTTAGAATCATTGATCGTTTGACGAAAAACCCTGATGGAGAATATAATTGTCCTAATGTACAATGTGGAAAAACATTTAAACCACAAGGTATCACTCCACATGTTAAATCGTGTGCAAAAGAATGGTTGAAACAAAACGGTTTTTCAATAGATTAAAAAACAGTATTTGAAATTTTTTTAATAAGAAATAAATTGTCGGAATTACGTTTTTCTATATGGACTTGAGAATATGGGTGTGGATATTGTATTTATCTTACATTCACACTCACAACTACTTTCAAGATGTAGTTTCATGATTATATTATTTCATTAAATCTTGATTAAATTATTAAAACTGTTAGACAACGAATAGATATTTATCGAAAGATAGAATTCTGATAGAGTTTCTGAAGTGAAAGTTTTGACAGTTTCTTTTTGTATATTTGGACGGCGAAGCTTTTCAGTTTTGTTTACTCGCGCATTCTTCGCAGATATCATATCCATTTTCTGAACAAGAGCAATGCCATGATGAATCGTAAGACGTTTCCTTGCATATAGTACATGTAAACCGAATTGTTGCATATGGATAGCTCCACATCTTTTGGCGCGAATCTTTATCACACAAACGGAGACGGTGTCCATCAGGACATCGTAGGTCCACTGCATCTAAAAAGAATATAATAATCAGCAAAAAAATGACTAACTTTTTTAAAAAGTTTCAGAAAAACTATATCAATGACGTAAGTAGAATTACACTAATGCGTTTGCGTTCCAACCTATTTCTCTTGAAAGATAGTAAGTGAATGTTAGTTTAATTTCCGCACTTTATCGTTTACGATTGATAGGTAATCTAGGAAGTAAATACCACTCTCGATACTATGCAACATGATTCAAAGTTCTAAATCGTAAACAAGAAAAGTCATTCAAAAGAACAGATGACTTTCATAGGACATCCATCGAAATAAAACAAATATTTTCTTCTAATTAGAAGACAATATCGGAAAGGCAATAGAACTGATCATATTCCGAATTTTGAATATAGTATTCTTCACTATGAGTTCTTCCTCACTATTTTTCTTATTTTCTATATTTTTTTCGATCTTCTTACCGTCGAGATCTAAGTGTATTGGTGTCTAAATGAAATTTCAAAATATTATAACAAAACCAATAAAATAAAAAATGACTAACCGTTCTGTTTTTCCGAACATCTGCCAAATGCTTTGCACCTATAGCTGTAATTTGATTTCCACGAAGTCTGAGCTTACATAGTGTCTACAAGAAATTATCAAACAAATCTAGTCAGATTTCTTTATGTTCTATGTCACGTTATTAGAATTTAATGCATCAACAAGATAGGTAACTCCTTCATCTGTAATATGATTCCATCGAAGATCCAGGTCGGCGAGTGTCTATTATCAGACTTGAATGTAACACAAGAAGGCATAGCAAACAATCAGAATAATTACCATAGAATTTTTTACTAACGAAGCTAACAGCTGTGCACCTCTATTACCTATTTTATTTGAACGAAGACGAATATATTTGAATTCCTGAAGAAAATCAAGATAAATATATATTAGGCAAGAGATCAATCAACAACTACATCTGTTTTTCGAAAGATCGACGTCATAAGCTCGATTATGTTATCTCCAATTCCAGAGTTATCGAGGTTAAAGGCATCGTTCTAGAAAAAACGTTATTAACAATTAAAAATGGTGTTCAATATTCACAACTTACCTGCTTCCATCGAGTACCAATGATAGCTGCAACAGCTTTCCAATCAGAAATCTTATTATCATTCAACTCGAGATATTTAAGATTCTACATTAAAAAATCAATGATAGCTATTAAAAAGAAGAGGCGAGTGAATAGCTAACCATATTATTTTCGAGCATGTTAGCAAAATGCTTTACTCCTTGATCTCCGATCTGATTCTCCTGAAGATTTAATTTGGTCAGTGTCTATAAAATATCAAAGTAAAACAAGCGACATATAATCATTGATAGTTACTCTATTCGTTTCCAAAGCATGAGCTAAATACTGAGCTCCTTGATCACCGATATGATTCCTGTCGAGTCGTAGACTAGTAAGTACCTATAAGAGACAAAATAAAAACGAAGAAAAGTCGAGCATTCCTATTTACTTGATTGGTTTCTAAGACATAAGCCAAATATTGGACTCCTTCATTTTCGATTTGATTATTTTGAAGTTCGAGAAAATTCAAAGTCTGTACGAAAAAGTAAGAAGAAAATGACACATAGGCGGTAATTGATAAGTACCGGGTGATTTTGTAGCGCTTGAGCCAGATATAGCGCTCCTTTGTTTCCGAGATGATTATTTTCGAGTATAAGTGTAGTTAATGTCTAAGTTTAAAGAATGTCAAAAATGAGATTCATTAAACCAGATAATGAATACTGACCTTGTTGTTATTCAAGGCATCAGCGAGATACTTTGCTCCTTGTTCCCCGATATCGTTGCTGTTTAGACTTAATTCCTTCAGTATCTATGATGAATGAAAGTGGCATTTTAAGGCAAAATACGTAGTGATATTTACTATGACAGTTTCTAGAATATTAGCAATGCATTGGACTCCTTCATCTCTAAGTTGATTATGTCCCAGATAAAGAGTTGTTAGAGTCTGTGAATTAAATGAAAAGAACCGATGAAAAAATATTAATAATTAATAGATACCGGATGATGTTGTAACACTTCAGCTAGATATTGCGCTCCTTTGCTTCCGATCTGACTATTTGTGAGTGTGAGTGTGATTAATGTCTAAGTTTGAAGAATGTGAAAAATGAGATTCATTGAAACAAATAATGAATACTGACCTTGTTGTTATTCAAGGCATCAGCAAGGTACTTCGCCCCTTGTTCTCCGATATTACAACTACTGCGATTTAATTCAGTTAGAGTCTAGATTATATCAATGTTGAAGGAAACAGCAATGACTGGTTAGATTTACCGTATTATCTCGTAAGCCGAAACTAATATATTTTGCTCCTCTGTATCCAATATATTTCGTTTCCATAATTAATGTTTTTATATTCTGTGGTAAGAAATACATGTAGAAGAATAAGCAGAAAACTATTCATACTTTGCCATGTCGGATGATAATAGCCTTTTCCAGTGCCTCCCATAAAACACTTGGATTCTGTTTTAAAATGAGCTGCTTAAGTGTCTTTTAAAAGAATCATAGATAAGAAATAGATAAAAGAGAAAGTAGAGCTCACTGTATTTTTTTCCATTGCATCAGCAAGGATTTCTATTCCCTCGTCTCCAATTCTATTCCAGCTTAGGTCTAGTGCAGTAAGAGTCTGCAAATAATTATAATATGAATAAGTAGAAGTCATCAAGGATTTTTACCGTGTTTTCCTTTAATGCATCAGCTAAATATGCTGCTCCTATATCAGTAATATGATTATTCTGT